GTAGTGGAGGGACCTGAGTGTCAAACACTACAAGTATTGGTGTTTTATTGTTGCTGAAACAAATTATCACAAATGTAGTGACTTAAAACAACACAAATTTATTTTCTTAGGCCGCTGCGGGGCGGTGACGCGAGCCCAGGGGCCTGGCAGAGTCGCCTTCAGCCATCGGGCACCGCCCATCGGCCGGCTGGAGAAAGCGCCCGACTCCCAGAGGGGCGTTTCCACCCTGCCTCCGCGGGGCGCTGCTGCTGGGGTTGTGTGTGTGTGTGAAGAACTGCCCGCGGAGATGTCTTTCGTTCCTTCGTCCTTGGTTTCCACCCCAACGGGCCGAACCTCAACGTTTCGAGTCTTTTTGGAACCCTACCAAATTTGTGTGAACTGTTTATAACCCTTTCCTTACTAAATGAGAATAAACACTAAAAGGGGTTACTCCCACTTGATTGACGTACTCTGCAAAAACCAGATAATAGACACCCGCGAAAAATAACTTCAAAAATTCTGTAGTCGAAATAACAATGATAGGTAGCAGCATTCCTTGGTGATATCCTTTTCTGTATTAGACTCCTAGGAAGCGGGTTGTACTAGCTGTTAGGAGTGTTCTGATGCCTCGGTTTATGACGGCTGACATTAGATAAATGAACCCAGGAGTGGAGATTCCTCCCTCTTGGCAATCAGAATCCCTTCTAGCAAAGCCTGCCCGGCTGAGACGAGACGGCTTCTCAAATACATCTTATTTATCATAGAAAAGTTTTCACTTTATATCTTGAGGAAATTTTCATAAAATTTAACACTTTATGAATTTATAATGAACGCGTTACAAATTAAACACTATGTTTAACGATTATAATGAAAAGCAGATGCTACCTTTTCTCCTAAATCTTTACCATTTTTGCCTCACTTTATTTGTAAAATTGGTAGATTGAATTTAAAACTCAAATCAACAGTTAAATGTATTTTGTGAAAACGTTCTGTACTAAAAATGTAGAATTGTCATTGTCTGAGTTATTAAATTGAATAACTCAGGTGAATCTTGAAGCAAACCACGTGTGAGCCAGAACTTTGAGGGGGCAGATTTGGGAGAGTTGAATGGTTGAATGCTACTCATGGTACTGCCCCCATCTCTTATCCCCTCCAAACCTCACATTCTTCATCTGTACAAGTTCTCACTAAATTATCTTTAAGATCCTTTCCAGCTTTAAAATTTAGTTTCTGAGTCTATCAGTGTTCAGTAGGACTGGTGTGTGTATCTCAGAATTAAGTTTAGGGATAGAAAATCATGAGGAGTGTGTGACAAATACGTGTGTGTGTGTGTGTGTGTGTGTAGTATGTTAGGTATTGCCCATGAAAAACAGGCTTATTTTTATGTCCATATTGTGCGTTTATTTTCTTAATTGTAAGATTAACTTAGAAATGAAGAGGAAATTTCCAATGTCTAAGCATGAATCCCAAGTAAATAAATAAGCTGGCTCATTACAGTTTATGAAATCTTTCTCTTTCTTGAATTTCCAAGAAAGTCATGAAGAATTGTTCTCAGGACATTGATCATTTGCTGTGTGTGGGTATCCACAACCATTCTTCCCAGTCTCTTCCTCTCAGGGTCTCCCTCCCTTCCATCCTGGAAGATTTGCAGCAGCCTCAGCAGAGAACAGGCCTAGATCAGGTTTCAGAATCTCTCCCACCAGAACTGGGGATTCCAAAGATGTAACTCACATACTCACATACACATATGATCCCGTTCTGATATCAACCCCTCTCTAAGCCTGTCCCCCTTTGACTACCCAGATCAAGTTAATGGATCTCATGCTCTAGGAATTTTTGCCTGAAGATATTTTTGTCTTTGAACATATTTTGTTGCATTATAATAACTTGTTTACATGTTCTGTCACCCAAATACACTGTAAGTGCCTGAGGATTTGAGTCCTTATCATCTTTGAATTTCTAGAGCCTGGTATATAGTAGGTACTCAATAGGTGATTTAATAATGAATTTGAAGATATTCTAGTGCTATTAAGAGGACAGAAAGGAAGCTTCTAGAAATTGTGAGGTCTTTCCACATGAACTTGTGAGGATAGCTCTGAGAACCTCAGGATCAGTAGCAGCTCCCTTTCTTTACCCCTGAGAGTTATAACCCAAACAGCACGGCTTGGTAAAGCGGCAGCACTTCCAATCATTGCTGTGTGAATTTTGGCCCCA